TACAGGAAACAGACCCAACGCATTTAGTTGAGTGGGGAAAAGGATCTCCACCACTATTTTCCTCACTTTGTCTCCAGGAAGGCACCTGCATGTTCTTCATAAGAAAAAGGAAGAATTTCAACTCCAGTGAAAATCATGACCAGAGAGTTAGAGAATAAAACAGAAACTTTGGCCAGAATTAAAGGAGAGGAAGAGGAAGCCACCCAATCAACCCATTGTTCATGAATGAATAAATGGATAAAGGAAATGTGGTATATACTTACAATGGACTAGTGTTCAGTCTTAAAAAGCAATGAAATCCTAACAAATACTACAATGTGGATGAACCTCGAAGATATTATACTAAGTGAAATAAGCCAGACACAAAAGAACAAATAGAGTATTATTCCATTTATAGAAGTTACCAAGCGTAGTCAAATTCAGAGATGGGAAGTAAAATGGTGGTCGCTGGGGAATGGAGGGAAGGAAATGGAGAGTTATTGATCACTAATGGGGACAGAGTTTCAGTTTGGTAGGTGGAAACATTCTGGAGATGAATAATAGTGATGACCACACAACAATGTAAATGTATTCAATGCAAAGAACTGTGTGTGTAAACATGACTAAAGTGGTAGATTTTATGTTATGTGTACTTCATCACAAAAAGACAAAGGAGGAAAAGAGAGAAGGGTGAGGTTGCTTAAGTTTCCTGTGCCAACTGACATGTTGGTTGTGTTCAAAATGTATCAATACGATTCTAACCCAAAGTGATGTTCCAAGGCAAAGATGCAGGCTTCTTATATACAGTTGGACATACCTTTTAACACCTCTATTCCAGTTTCCTCTTCCCGCTGGATGTGCTCTTATGAAGATGAAATTCCAGCTAGGCAGAGAATCTCATCTGATCATTGAAACAGAACTTATAATCAAGAAGAGGCAAAGTTGTGTCTACATTTCTGTCAAATCATCTACTTGAAATGGTTTTGTGAAGATCATTCAAATTTTCTATTTCTGCACAAACTTCCTCCTAGACATTAGGGATGCTTCACTCTGGCTGTGTCCTAACTGGGCAAGCTAACTCAGGAAGGTGCCTTTCCACAAATGAGCTGGGTGCATTCTCTGAGGCAGGCAAATCCAGAAAGGGCCAGAATCCAGAAAGAAGATGCCTAGTAAAGTGTCTGATTTGAGGGAGGTGATTTTTTACCCAAAGAGCATGTGGACAATTCAATGACCTACTTAGACAAATTTTGAGGTTCACTAAAGACTCTAATTTACTGGTTGACCTGCCAGAAACTCTGATTTCTTAGTTGTAGCTCTTATGCTGAAGTTGTGCACAAAATACCTCAAGCCAACATTTCCTGAGCAACTTCATCTGCAGATACAGGGTGGGAAAGAAATTAAAAGTCAAGGTGTCAGGACACTTATGCAAGGGGTGTGTGTGTGTGTGTGTGTGTGTGTGTGTGTGTGTGTGTACATTGATAGCCAATGCCGTCAAACCTCGGATAACTGCATTACTTCCTCCTGGCAAAGTACAAGGAAGACTCTACCCCAGTCTACAACAGAGATGGGAGTAGAATAAAAGATAACTCCTGGGAGGAGCTATAATGGTGTGTGTTACCTGACACTCTGCAAAGGGTTTTCTTGTTCTAAGGACACTCTCTTCACCATGATCTTTGTTGAAGAGCTGAATTTCGTGGTGTAAGCATTCTCTCAGTGAACTCTCCTCTCCTTTTCCCTAGCAAGCTCACATGTACTCTTTCCTCACATCACTCTCCTAGAACCCAGATGGGGTGACCCGTGTCCAGTCACATGAATGCTGAATTTGAATTTTTTTAGAAGAAATTTCACCTCCATCCACTGTGTCACAAAATAACTTAGGTCAGCTCTCGGGTAGGGCCTACAGGGTTTTTATTTGTTGACTAGATTGTTGGTGCACACACACACATATACTCAAGATGAACAGTTGACTTTCCAACACCACGACCAAAAACTTGGGTGAAAAATACGCCCCTCACACCCGCCCAATAACAGTAGCTTTAGGCCTCTGAAATGTTCTCTTAGAAGTCTAGAGAACTAACTAATACATGACTAATACACTAATACTAACTAACTAACTAACTAACTAATACACTGACTAATACATGAAGCAATTTATTTCCATTAAAAATGTAGCTATGGAAGCTATGGTAATGGGGGTCAAAAAAGTGATGAGGTTGGGGAAGGAGACCATCTATCAGAGAAAACACAATGAACTTCTGTATTTTGTTAGAGGTAGTAGTTCCACAGGTATACATAATTGTCAAAAGTTATTCATCTGAATACTAAGATCAGTATATTTTATTATATGCAAATTATACAGCAACATTTTTTAAAGTAACAGTTAAAAGATTACAACCTGTAGCTGAGTATAGGGTAGGATGGCAACCTTCTCCTTCTGCCCACTTTTCCCCACATCTCTCTCTTCCCCCAGTCTAAGCTCAGTGAAAGAGGACTGGATATAAGAACACTGACTTCCTCTCTAAAATGTTGGCCAGATTTGTGATCTGGTGCTGCTGAGGGAGTGGAGGGTTTGAGTCCATCTCACATCCTCCCTGTGGTTTCTATAGGCACATCCCTCTGCTGCTCCTTAATGATATTCCCCACAGCCACAGTAGCCTCAATGGAGGAGCTCCCAGAGGAGGCTGAAGGCAGTGAAAAGTCATCAAACACCTAACACCCATGGCACTGTGCTGCATGCAGCATGCCTTCAGCTGGGATATTTGAGCAAGGCAAGTGTGGCTATCAGCTCAGCCTGGAGGCCACCAATCTGAGAGTTTCATTTCATAGTCAGCCCAGAGAGCACTTAACCTAGCTCTTGGCCATCTTCTTGGCTGAGAACCTGAATGGCAACACCTTGAGGCTCCTATTTGTCTCATTCTTTAACATTGGCAGGGGGAAGCCATGGCTCCACACTGAGTTCACTTAAAGGCTTTGGTTGATAATCTGTCCACAGGGGAGCAATTCATGCCTTCTGTCTCACACACAAGCAGTTCTGCATTTCATAGTTGATAAAATATTAGGAGACCAGAAGTTCTATGTCTGCTTTTGCTGCCCTCTGGCCTACTACTTAAACACCTATATCTCCCCCATTTATTAAATGGGTCCAGTAATGGCTCTGAGTACGCCTTTCAGAGAGAATTTAAGGACATTAATGAGATAATGACCACTAAGCATAGTGACTTCAGTAATAAATGGTGACTTTGGAAAGGGTCCACTGCAAGGGCATGCATTTTTTTAAACCTTCAGGGATATGTCACACAGAAATACATCTACTCCCCTATTTAAACTGGGAGATTCCAAGCATGCGAGGAGTTGGGAGAGTTGAAATATGAATGAGCCAGTGTTGGTTCCTGCTTGTCTATTTCAATCTTTCCTTCCCTACCATCATTACAACCTCTGAGTTCACGCTTCCTCTCTGCATTCAACTTCCTGCCACTTGAGCTAGATATTGAGGTTTCTGGATCCAATGTCAAGAATAGTTTAAAAAAAATAGAGATGCCATTTCATTTAGGACTATGTCTCTTACCCAGAAGGCTACCCAAGCACAGGTAGAGAGCATGTGTTCAGTTTGGAGGAGGGGAACAGGATGCTGAATTAAAAAGCAAACAGAGAGTCTCCACATTAGAATCCAGTGGGGTTGGAAGGAGTGAATCCCCCCCCCCATCACACACACACACACCGCTATCATCTCACATATTTAAATGAAGTGACCAGAACCTTAAATAGTTAGGGGCCAAATCAAGGCAAAGTTTGCTTTTACAGGAAGCCACATCTCATTTCCCTGGGGATGCTGACACCATTGAAACTTGAGTGACTGAAGGAAGTCCCCACCACTTGTAGAGTGACATGACCAAGCAATTTGGGATTTGGAGAGGACTAAGAGGGGCAAGGGGGGGAGGCAATAGTGTTTCCAAGGCAAAAATCAAGGCTGATTTGGGAAATTGATTAAACACATTTCAAAAAGGCAGGAAACAGGAGACAGAGCAATAACTTGCAAAAAAAAAAAATGAAGGCAAAAGTAAAGTAGATATCCCTAGTGCCGGCAGACATAACATCACTTCAAGTCTTCATAGTTAGGGCCAACCTGGGTTCACTTCTTCTTCTCCAGACACATGGGGAGAGACCTTTCCCCTGAGTTGTTTTCACTGGCAGAAAACAGGGAAGTACAGACTTTGTCCTCTTTCAAACCAAGTATAGTCAAAGGTGACAGAAAAGTAGAAGGCACCTCCTGCCTCTCTGCAAAGGCACTACAAGCCACAGGGCCAACATCTACAAAGCCAAAGACACTGACCTGCCACCATGAAGTCAAGCAGGCCTTAGTCCCCCAGACCACCCATCCTGATGCTCACCTGTTGCACCAGCCCACTTGCCATGGATTCACCCCAGGAGAGAAAGTAAAAGGTCAGATTGGGCTCTCTCCACAGCAAGAACCCAGAGAATCCTGGGGAAATTGACATTTTAAAAACCAGCTCTTCTAAGCTCTCCGAGGAAAACAACTTTTAACTCTCCCTCTGCTCTCAATCCCCTAGGCTTCCTTTGCAACACTTTCCCTCCATGGATGCCTTGTCAGGAAAGAGTTAAAAAGGTGCACGCACTAATTCCCCAAACCCTCCCTCTCATCTACATAGAAAAAGAACAACCCTACCCAGAGACACACAGAAACCCACTGGCAATTTAGCTCAGACTTCACCTGTCTCATGCAGCACACACACGCACGCACACATGCAAACACACGTACACACACATACACACCGGTAAGACCAGAGTCCACATCACCTTTTAATTCGGTGGACATAGTTTTGTGCCTTTTTTTTTTGCCCTACGCAGAACCCGACTCAACTGGCAGCAGAGATAGATGTAACCTTAGTGCCAAATGCCTTGCAGGAACACACAGGAACCAAAAGGCATCGCAGAGCTCTCCGTGGTGCTGAAATCACGCTAGCAAGGAAATCCAAGGAGCAAGTGCGCTGGACTTACCGAGCTGGGGGTGGGCGGCAGCGGGAAAGAGAGGAGCTTCCTGCGAAGAGAATTCTTGTCTGTGCGGGCTGGGGCCAGCTGATGCGCTCACCTAGAGAGCCCACCTCTATCCCTTCTCTTCCCTTTCTCCTTTCCTGGCAGGAAGCAAGGAGGATCCACGAAAGAAATGAAAGCCAAGCTGGCAGGGCTGGAGTGAAAGAGAAACAGAAGGCAACCAAAATAAGATCAAAAAGTCAGGTGGCTTTACTCCACTAGTGGTAATTTCTTGGGTCAGAGAGGACCCCTCTTCTCGCACTCTGTATCTGCGCCTTTCTCTGTCTCTGCGTGTTGAGCCAACAGCCTTGGCACAGTCGGTTCCTGCCTCTGACGTTAAAGAGACTAGGAAGCCTGGGACTGCTTTGCTGTCTCTCTCTCTCTCTCCCTCTCTCTCACGCGCTCTCTCTTTTCCCCTCTTGCTGAAATTTCAGCAGCATGATATTTTTTTTAAAGCCTCTGGTTTTTCCATCCCCCTGCAAACAGCCCCCTAGTGGACAGAAAAGAAAAGCATCCTGAGTCCTCTTGCACAGCCCAGACCCTGACACAGGAATACCCCGGTGTCTAGGAACTGCTGGGGCTGCTTCTGCACAGTCCTCTGTACTGCCTGACTCTTTTCTCTGATCAAACCAAATAGAAAGAGAGAAAGAGGCAGAAGATAAGGGTAATATGGGAGCTTTGCAAATCTGTAATCCCTAGGATTGCAGGAGAAGTAAAGGGTAGAACGGGATGGGGAGAGAGATTGGGAAGAGAATAGTTTGGAAGGAAATCAGAGATGGGGTTCCCAAGTGGTTTAAGGTCCTGGATGAGCAGAAATATATCCACCAAAGAGTCAGACTCTGCAGGCAGAGGAGCTATGTGTACCCCAGGGCAGCACAGGAAGGGAGCGCTTAAAGACACAGTGAATGAATATAGGGAGCTAAGGAGAGAGTATTTAGCCAGCACCTCATCTAGTAGCCTAATATTACTTTTTTGAAAGCTGGTAAGAAAAATATCTTGGAACTCATGGCCTGAGATCATCTCAGAGATGGAGAGAGAGGTGTCCTTGTTGGGCATCCATGAAGAACTGCACCAGAGGAGGGCCATCAGGGGTCACTTCTCACAGGCTCCTGAGGGATGTCTTACACTGCTTTTTAAATGTACAGTTTCACAGCCTCTCGGAAAGAGTCCTAGTACTTACATCGACAAAGTTGATCTCTAGTTTGAGACTGCCACTTGCTTACTGGACATTTTGCTTCTTTATGGCTCAATTTCACTGTTTGTAAAATGTGGATAATGCTGCCCCCTCCCTACTGAATAGGAATGCTGAGGGCTTGGAATGATAGAGACACATAGAACCACAGGCTTTGCAGGGAATTTAAAGGTAATCTTATCCAAATGCTTTCTTTATGTTTGATTCACCCCTAGCAAATAATGATAGCTAGCCTTTATAGCATTTTTACCAGGCAGCAGGAACTATTTCAAGACCTTATGTGTATTAGTTCATTTAATCCATACAATAACTCTATAATACAGATGCAACTATTGCTGCTTTATAGACTAGGAAACTGAGGCTCACTGGGATGCAATGACTTGGCCAAGATCACACAGCTAATAGCATGAGTGGAGCTGAAACACATACCATCTGACCTTGGAGCTTACATTTTTATTTACTTTATATAATAAATGCAAGTTTGTGTATGTATACATATATATGTAAAAGCAATAGAATCTGAAATAAATAAAATATAGCACCATAGATATCATTATATTTTGTTTATAGGAAAGTGCCTATTTTGTTATAATAAATTTATATGTAGCTGAGCTTTTAAATAAATTATTTATAACCAAGGATGCCAAAACAGCTGTGGAAATTGCTATTAGTGCTGAGAATCCTCTAAGAAAACTAATACTCTTGATGATTTGGGTAGCTTTACATATATATAACTGACTGTAAATCTCTCGAAGTTGGAAACTATTGGAATTTAACATCAGTTCAGAAAACACATCATTTGATTTCTGTACCAAAAGCAGATAATTCACCGCCTCGTGCCTAACACAGGGCTGGGATAGAGCTAAGGATCTGATGGGCTGAATTTCTGCCATTTACTCAGCTGATAAGCGCTCTTGAACTATTGAAAATTCTTCAGAATTCCAGATTTGTGAATTCTCCACCTAATTTGGCTAAATTTTTCTGATTTTCTTTCACTCAAAAGGGAATGGAACAGGAAAAAGATGGTATGTGATGATTAACAAGTCGTGGTCCCTGCCCTGGGAGTTTCCATTCCTCAAAGAGAGAGAAGGAGGGAGAGGGCAGGCAAGACCATATAGTTCCAAGAAAAGTGCTGAGACAAGGACAAAAGCAATGTAATAAATGGGCACACAGAGAAGACAACCTAATCCCTGAGGACAGAGGAACTTTCTAAGGAGTGCAGCATCTAAGCTGAAGAAGGAGAAGTTAGCTCAGGACAGAGCAGAGAAGAAAGGTAGAAGGCACAGCCAGTGCAGGCTTGGAGGTGAGAGTGAGCAGTGTGAAACTTCTATTCCCTTTCAATTTGCGAATGGGGAAAACTGAGACTTAAATGTTAAGTCACTTAAACTTTAAGTGACTTCATAGAGGCCACACATCCATTAAATGCATATCTATTTGACTCTCAAGTCCTCTTTGGCAGGTGCCATGCTGCAGTCTCATATCATCTGGAGGGCATATGCAATTCCATATGACACTTCAAATAAAATGTATACAGCGACTGCGGTGGTGTCTATAGGAGGCTGGAAGTGTGATCCAGTACTATTAGATGTAACACACAATTGTATTGGCCTCATGGATGAGGGATTTGTTTACAAAGAATGATCTCAAGATCTGGAGCTTATTTTCTGTCAAGTGGAGGAGGAATTCTTAAAGATGACCATGAGGTTAATGTAATACACCCTCGCAAGGAGGAAGGGAAGGCCCTGAACTCCTAGGCTGGGCCTGGGCTCATCTCAGTCTCACTGGGCAGGCTTGGCAACCCCACTGCAAATGTGGGTATTGTCTGGGAAGAGCCATGTAGAGCCAGCTGACCACCACACAGACAGGAAGGCAAGAGTTTCAGGGGCACTGATTGGGGGAGGGAGCAAGAGGAAGCAGCCCTCAAAGTTTTGGGAACACCAGTGGATAGAAGGAGCCAAAAAGAAAGCTTTTCCCTGTAGGCGGGGGCTTTCCTGAGCTAGAGAATAAGTGGACAATTGGATAATTCTAAGCTCTAGCAATCCACTGAAAAGCCAGAATCTGCCAGATGAGTGCAATGAGTGGGAAGGGAGCCCATCCCAAATCTCTCTCCTACTCTGGTGCCATGAGACAGCATACACCCTGTGGTGGACTGCAGGGTCTGTTGAATGCCTTTCCCCCACCCCATTCTCCTTTTTCTGGAGCCAGAACCTATCCATTCCCTACCCCAGACACTAGCCTGGACTCGACCTAGGCCTGCCACATCCAAGTTTCCCATTCCTCCAGATATAGTGATGGATGCAGGGTCAGGCTCAGATCAGAAGCTAATCAGAAGCTTTCTTGGAAATAGGAAAGAAGTGGTCTTTCTGATGAGGTGGTCAAACAAGGACCATGTAAGCCTGGAGTTGACCATAGCATCTTCCCTGACCTTATGGAGGAATCCCACACACTATTAAAAACAATGATGCCAATACCCAGCAGGAAACAGAACCAAAGATGGGGAGAGACCATGCAATGTTTGGGCCCCAAGTTCCAGCCAGCCCTGAACCTCAGTTGGGTGAGTTGATCAATTTTCTTTTGCTTAAGTTTATTTACGGCAGGTATTTGTCAAGTTGGCTTCTTCAGAATCTTCTAAAACTGCAGGGAAAATTCGCATTCCTCTTAGGGAAATAACTCCAGCTGGGTGAGAAGCACCTCACTGGGAACCTATGAAGAGTGGGTGCTTGGGGTGTGAGAGCAGAGCAGGCTGGGAGATGACTGACAATGTGGGGAGGAAAGATAAACATCCCCATCTCCATCAATCTGTCAATCTGCTTCTCACTGATGAGGTCCAGAGAGTGCAGAGAGAGGAGCCAATGGGACAATAGGGCAGCCATTGCTGTGTCTGTATAGAGCATGGTGGGATGTGGAGGACTGGGGAGGACATGCTCAGAGAACCCCTTTGTCATGCAGCCTGCGTGGTTACCTGTGCTCTTCCAGGTGGAAAGGGAGATGCTGGACCATGACCCCTGGCATCACAGGGTTCTGCTGCCTTCTTGTGGAGTGTCCACCTGGGTGAGGATAGCAATCTCAAGGACTTGAAAAATCTGCTCCTCCCCTCCCCCCAGATTGCCCAGCCCAGAACAGCTCCTCCAAACACCTCCGACACCCTCTGTTCCTATCTGAGCGCAGCTGGCTCGGAGGGCACTGAGTAGAGTCCTCCCATTTAAGGAGGCTGCTGCCCAGAAATTGTGTGAGCAAGTTCAGTGTCTCTGGCTGAGGCAGGACCCCTACCCTTCCTCCTGCCCAGTGCCTCCTGCATTGGGAACCTGGCCAGCTGCAATCTACCTAGGGAGGGCAGGCTCTGGCTGATGAAATGCTAGCCAAAGAGGGAAGCACCAGGCCTCTGGCTCCCCAGCCAGCCTGCCAGCCAGCCAGAGGGAATCACTATCTACACCCGAGAGCCCACCAGGCTTCCCACACTAAATTAGCAAGAGCAAAGCAGATGTCTCCCTTCAATGCAGCAAAGGATTAGATGAGAGAGAGTCACCCCCCACTTCCATTCCTATAGACAGGGGGAGTATGGGGATCCTTTTCTTGGATCCTCCAGACTATGCCATAGTCTGGGGTGCCAAACCTGCCCTCTGCCCTTGACTCTTTCTCTCCTGGCTGCCCCAAGGCATGAGTTTCCTTCCCTCAAAATTTACTCTCATTTTGTTCTGGAAGTACTCATTTCCTCTGATTTCTGAGTAGGAAAACTTGGGCCTATTCTTCATGCTGGCCATAGGGGAACTTCAAATTCCACCCCCATCCCCCATCCCTTTCCTCCCTGAGCCCATCCCCCTGAGGGAGCTCTATTCCAGAGACAGCCTCCTCCCTGCTCCCAGTGTCCTGTGTTCCTTATCAGCAGAAAAGGGGGTGCAGCATTCTGGCTTCTTGTCACCATTCTTTGATCCTCCACCCTTTGTTTCTCAGCATGACTTGAGGGCTGAAGCCTCCCCACAGCTGACAGCCTCACTTACACCTCTCTCTCCTCACAGTCCTGTGGAAAGTAGGAGTAAAAGCTCCTTCTCACACCGCGACACCTGCCTGGGTTCGGGTCCTTCATGTATAAATTGGGAATAAAATAATCACACCTACATCATAAGGTGGCTGTACAGGTTGAGTTAATTCATGGAAAGCTCTAGAACAATGCCTGCAGCACAGTGAGTGCTCTATGCAAGCCAGTTATTACTAGGTGAACATTTTTGAATACACACATATTTTCCTTAACCCCCGCCCCCTGGCTTGAATAAATATCCTGGGTTTAGCACCTGCCCCTTGGCACCTGCTTGGCTGAATGTGATGGGATCTGTGACCTTGACTGCATAAAACTGACCAGGCCCTGACTCTGGGGCCCTCCATAGTCTGAGGAAGAAAAGACCCTGGACATGGTGGGAGTGGGGGTGGACAGACCTGGGTTTAACTTCTGCTAACCCATATTTAAGATGTGAGGCCTCTGGCTGATCACTTATCTCCCCATGTTTCAATTCCCTCCTCAGAGAAGGGGGGGGGGCATAATTATGATTCCCTTGACATGGTTTTGTAGCCACCAAATGAAATAATGGGTGGGAGTGTATAGGTACAAGGAAAAGTTCCCCAATCTTCAGGCCAATCAAACAAATTAACATCAGACAGATTAAAAGCAGAAAAAGACCAAGTTTAATGCTATGTGTATAGAAAATTTACATGGCTGGAAGTTCTATAGTAAGAGGGAAAACTTGAGGGCTACACCCTATCCCTAAGGGACAGGATAGGAGTCTGTCTTATCCAAAGATAGAGTAGGGGGTGCTCATGATGAGGAGAGGGTGACTTCATGTGATAGAATGTTGTCATTGTATGTTTTCTCTGCCTTCCAGTAGGTTTCTCTGATTAAAAAAAAAAAAAAAGTGTTTGGGGGCCTCCCTGGTGGCCACAAGGGGTTAAATCTCAGCCACTGCAGCACGAGTTTGATCCCGAGCCAGGGAGCTACCCACATGGCACAACAGACCTCTCCTGTCTCACCTGCTGCTGCCCTCAGCAGTGCATTTCAGTCAGTCCACCTGTTACGCTCTCCACTCTGTCTCTGGTGAATCCTCTCACCTCTGGCCTGCACTCCAGTTCTTGATGTATAAATAAATAATAATGAATTTTTTTTAAGTGTTTTTTTTTTGGTGGGGGGGGGGCCTCCGCGGGCAGTTGAGCACAGCACTGTGAAGCTGTCCACAGCCTCTGTAGCACGGGTTCAATCCCCGCCGGCCGCGGAGCAACCCACATGGCGCCGCAGACCACTCCTGTCTTGCCTGCTGCTCCCCTCAGCAGTGCATTTCTGTCAGTCTGCCTGTTTTGTTCCCTGCTCTGTCTCTGGTGAATCCTCTCACCCTCCCACACATCTGGCCTGTACCCTGGTTCTTGTATGCATGAATAAATAATTTTTTTTATTTTAAAGATTTATTTTATTTATTTATACAAGCACTGGGTATAATCAGAAGCGCGGGAGGGTGAGAGAATTCACCAGAGCAGGGAACAGAGCAGGCAGACTGACAAAATACACTGCTGAGGGGAGCAGCGGGCGGCAGGAGAGGTCTGCATGCCATGTGGGACCCTCGCCGGTGGCCAGGGATGGAACTGGCGCTGCAGAGGCAATAAATCTTTTTTTAAAAAAAAAGTGTTTTTTCCCCTAAGTGATGATCCTAAAAGTCTAGGTAATCTACATTTTTAAAGGTTATGGGAACAGTTTTCACTGAGATCTGAGAGCCACAGGGTCCCAACTGACCTTAGCTCCACATCCCAAGGTGACACGTATGAGAGAGAGCTCTCTCTGGCCCTCTCAGAGATGCCTATCTGAACACTTTTGGGGGAATCGATCCTAAAGAAGTTTCAAGAACGGAGTTGAAAATACAGTGAAAATTCAATAGCCATTGGCTCTGCATCTGTCAGCAAGGGCCTGATCTTGTGCCCTCAGGGTTTTCCTGACACCCCCTCTCAAGGTGTCGCCTGTACTCCTAACACCAGCTGACAGCTCAGAGTCCACCTTCTGTTGGTTATTCTGTTCCTCCCATTGTACTCACTGTGCTTCAAGAGCACAGGGCCTCTGCCTGAGCTGTACCTCCAAAACCTACAACAGCACCTGGTTCTTGCAAACATGTTCAATAAATATTGTCACTTGAAAGCATATTTTATTTCCTCGTCATTTTTAGTCCTCTCATAGCATGTTTTACTGCAAGCAATAAGGTTTTGAGTCAGGCAGAACAGAATTTAAACCTTCCCTTTTCTACCTTAAGAAATGTACTCTGAGCTCCTATTTCTTCATCTGTAAAATACAGAAAATAATGTTTGTACTGTGGGGTTAGCATGAAGAGCCACCGAGATAATGACTTCTGTTATAAGGTGATGGAAGTATGAAGGAAGTTCATCAATTCCTGGGCCAGTGAAAAAATGAAGGAAGGAGTGACACACAACTGGCCCTTTATCTGATCTCCTACCTCCTAACCTTTCTTTTCCTCCTTGCTTCCTCCTTTCCTTCCCCACCCCCTCCCCCTCAGGCTGGCTTGCTGGGACCCCTGCTAATCCTTCAGCCACAGGGCTGCTGTCTCTGAGTCCCTGCTGGCAAGAGCAATCTGGATCAGCCTTAGAAGTTATTACCCTTTAATGCAAGGGTCGGCCACTAGTTTAGCTCAAGTGCCACAAATATGGAACAAATTTTGCCAGAGGCACCAGAGTGGCCAAAGGAACATTTTTCTAATTTTCAGAGAGGCGTTGCCAGCACCCATGGGCACTTTGGCTTCATGGTTGGCTTTTCTAGAAAGACTTTAATATTCACTCCCTGTATCTCTTTCCGTCTTTTTAATCTATCAGTCTTAAGTAAAGAGTCATCTCCTTCTCTCTTCTATTTTTATACTTTTCCTTTTTGGACTTCTGTCCTCTTGCCTCTCAGGCTATTCCTAGTGCTGTGTATTCCCATTTTCCCCAGCTTCTCCACCACCCCCTCTTGACTTGTTCTCTTCGGGAAGCCAAAGTGTCATAAGATTCCAAGACTTAGATGTGGAGGAGGTAGAAGACCCAACACTGTGAGGACCATTCAAGGGCGCCATCCCTCGCTATGTCAGCTGTCAGAGTAAAAGTTCTGGGTTTGCCCTGTCACAGTATTTTCTTATCTTTCTGCTCATAAGCAAAAAAAAACTTGCACAGTTAGAAGAAATACAAATGCCAAGGCTCTCTGGGTGGTCTGAAGGAGCAAGTCAGGCTAGTTGGGTTTAGCCTAGTTTATTTCCTAGTCTTCCTACTCTGCCCAGGAACCAGTCTGTGGGACTTCTGGAAGCCACACACAGCCACCTCACAGAGCACAGGTTCTAATCTTAGTCCAGGCAGTGATGCCACTCTCCTTCCAGTCCATCAGCTTCCTTTTCATCATCTGTTTATACCCTCTTGAGTTTGCCTTTCCCCTTCCAAAAAATGAGAACAAGGATCTTTACCCTGGGCTCCTCATTAATTAGAGTTTTCTGAGTACCGTATGTTAGGCTGCAGGTCTTTGTATCTTGGTATCTTGGGAGGCAAGGGCCTCAGAAATGGTCTATAAAGCCATCCTGTTTCCCTCACTGTCACAGATCTTTCTTTTTTCTTTTTTTTTTTTTTTTTTACAAATTTGAGGGCAGCCCAAATTCCAAGAAGCAAGCTCAAGCCCCATCTGAGACAGAGCTATATTTTCTCACATGGAATAGCACTCTTGGAAAGTGTTAACTCAACAGCTCAAAATCAGATTTGGAATTTCTTTGGCCTCACAGGCAAGCCATCCCTTCTGCATCAGCACCCCCACTTTTGACACCCCATCTGAATTGAGCCAGGGCTGCCTCTCCAGAAAACACATGTACATGAGGCCTTTGTCAAGTCTAAAGACAGAGGTCTTCCATCCCCAGAATCTGATATGGTGCTGGGGCCTCCAAGCGTCTGGGGCTCACTGTGCTGTAAACTTGAATGTGCAAGCTGCTTTTTAAAAAAAAAAAAAAATCTTTTTGTTGCTAAGAACAAGCTAAGTGGTTCTGAGTTTTTAAAAATAAAAAGTATTTTAAATAGCACAGATATTTAGGTTAGAGGAAAAAGTCAGAGGAAGACATATACTAGGAGTATATATATGTATATATATTCATCTACATGTGTAAACATTATTATGAGCCAGGCATTATGCTAATCACTGTACATACTAGATTTCATTTATTTAAATACTTAAGAAGAAAAATGGAGGGAGTTTCCTAAGTAGCTGAGAGCATACATTTGTCCTGTACCAAAGAATGAAGATGAATGAAAAGGTTTGGGGAGAAAGTAGGTAAAAGAATCCTACACAAAGACCAGCTCTAGTCTGGGCTGCTGGCCAGAAGTCTCGAGAAGAAAGGAAATAATGAACTTATAGAATGTCAGGGCTAGAAAGAGCTTCAGAACTGATCTTTTCCACCCACTGAGTGTTCCATTTTGCAGGTGAGAGCACCAAGTTCCAAAGAAGGGGAGTGACAAGTCCACCTGGCACAGTGACCACATCCAATGTCCTAGGCCAGAGATCCTTCAGGGAAATCTACCAGAGCATGCCTGTGCTCCCACTAGCCAGAATTTAAGCTATCTCATTTTGATACAGGGCAGCAAGGAGCACTAAAACTGACAAAGGACACTGCCCAAATAGTTTATCAGTCACTGCCTGAGTTTTTTAACCACGTGCGCAATTGCAAGACTAATAATGGGATTTATTAACAAACCAGTGAAAAATAAAGGAGTTATTGAGACTAAAAATGGCCTTTACCTCACCCAAAGCAGTGTCCTCTCCTGAACAAAAGGCCATGTGTCCAAGATGGCATCTTCCTGCCTCTGTCAACCAGGAGCACGTGGCAGCCAGACTATAGTTCAGGTTCCAACTCATGAAGACAACAGAAGACACAACAGGACATGCTCCTGGAGCTGCTAGGACACCCCAGTACAGCCCCAGACAAGCGACACTCAAGACAGCAGCCACAGCAGCTGAACAACCCTAAAAAGAGCCATACTTACGCAGCACAGTGAGGCACCCAGCTCTGGCTCCAGCTCCAGGTCTTTGCCTTCCCTGCCAGGCTACAACAGCAGCAAAAGCGGAAATAGTTTCAGTCACTTGGCTAATTGCAAAATCTCTGAACTTTTCCTCCCCAAGGTCGGCTGGGGGAGGCCTCCACCTTCAGAGGCCCACACAACCTTTTGGAAGATTGGCGCAGTGGGGGTCCACAATCTGCCTCCCCCCAAATGCTGAAGATCTAAAAACCTTGACTCCAGAAGGCTGAATGCATCCGCCCAGCTACTGCAGTCCCTTATATTCTTATTAGTCACTCCACTCCCAAAATTCGATACTTTTTAGCATTTTCCCTGGGGCTATCTATTCTCACCAGTAACCCCCTCCAGGGGCACCACCTGCAACAGTCGATGGCTTTAGCCACCAGTTACATTTTCACAAAGGGTCATTTCTCCTCACATACTGCACGTCTCCCAGTTTGTCATCTGCTGCTCTGTGATGAGTCATTGCCAGTTGTCTTTGTGTCTCATTGTGTGGCCAGAGCTTTTGGTGACCCACTGGTCATAGATCTAGCCCTGGGAATCACATGCTTTCCTGGTTTACATGTGTGTCTGCTCATGGAGCTTGTTCATCCTGAATGGTGGTCTCAGTGTCACTCCTGGGGACTAGAGAAAACACTAGTTTTCTCAAAAATTCAAGAAAGCCATTCTCAGCATTTGTCTTCCAACATGTTTGTTCCTTTGAACCTTAGAATCACACAGTATTCAAGTTGGTAGAGTTCACATGTCATCTGGTTCAATCAAGTCCACCAGTTGGAGAACGATAAGGTGACTCAAATTGACACAACTAGTGGAAAACAGATCCAGGGCTGAAAGTTGAAAGTTCTAGGGCTGATGGCAGCAGCTTGCCAGCACTGGTAGATCACTAGCTCTGATGGTATTAGAGGACTCCCTTGAGGACAGAAGAGTGCAGATGTGGAGGGGGTGGGGACTGGCAGCAGAAAAGGCTGGTGTCCATGCAGCTAGTTATTGCCCACCACTATCTGGGGAGGAGCAGGTGGTTGTGCATTTGCCCAGTCACTGCCATGCACCCCCCTTTTCATCTTATTTGACACTGTGAAAGAAGCAGAGTTGCAGTTTTCTATTGCATCGAAATGAGAATGTGTAGGCTCAAAGATAACACCTAATTGATAATAAAAAAATAATATGATAAAAATGTAAGGTCGGGCCTCCCCTGATGGCACAGCAGTTGAGAGCTGGGCTGCAAAGCTGCCCGCAGCCTCTGCAGCACCAGTTTGATCCCCAGCCGCTGGTGAGGGTCCCACATGGTGCGCAGACCTCTCCTGCCACGCCCCGCTGCTCCCCTCAGCAGTGTATTTCTGTTGGTCTGCCTGTTCTGTTCCCCGCTCTGTCTGTGGGGAATTCTCTCACCCTACCACGCTTCTGACTGTACCCAGTGCTTGTATAAATAAATAAATAAATCTTTTAAAAAAATGTAAGGTCAATGTAAGTAAGTTATAATAATGTATATTGAATAATTAAAGTATGCACACTGCAGTAACTATGTTGTGGAGCCTGAGGGTCTGTGTCTCTAGGGCTGTGTTCCCTACACAATCATAACCAGGATAATAAAAAAACATTTACTTAGCATTTATCAGGTGTCAGATACTGTTTATGCATACATATTTAGATAGATATGGATAGAAAAAGACAAAGTATATATATTATATGTAATAATTACATATTATAGATAATACATACTTTTTCCTTCTTCATAACAATCGCATTAAGTTAGCCATTTTTGTCTTTATTACATAATGAGAGTGCTGAGAGACAGAGAGTTTTAAACAAAGCCCTAAAGAAAACCATTTTCAAAATAGTAATATTTCGTGTAGGGCCTTCAGCAGGTGGAATCTGGTGACAGCTCCTCCCACCGCCACCCCCCCACCCCCTGCAACCCCCCTGTCCAGCGATAAGCAGAACTTCCCTTTCCTCACAGTCCTCACAACACCCACCCACCCTCCACCCTTTTCCCCATACAAACACTTTCATTAAACCAAAAAGGAACTGGACCAAAGCCCAGAAAACGTTCCATGAACCTTTTGTTATTTTCCTGGTTCACTCAGGATCTGTTATCTTAAATTTAATAACAAGAGAAAAGAAAATCAGCTTGTGAAAGCCGGACTTTGGGGCAAATCCTCAGCATGAGTCCGTGCTTGTGAGTATGGTCGGGACAAGAGAGCCCCTTCTGGGGAGCTCCATCCTGGAAGCCCTAAGGGCTCCCCTAGAGGACTTTAGGGGATGTGGCAGGACAGGCAGTGCCCCTAAACCACAGTGATACTAAGAAGGTGTCAACAGTAATCTAGACAGCAATAAACTGACATCTTTAAATCCATCAGATGTCCTACAATCAAAAACCAAATTATCTGGTATCAAGAGTTACTGAGTAGGCAGCAAGTGCCAGCGAGGAAATCTGTGGGTGGCGGAGTGAAGACCCCAGCAGGTGGATGGAAAACGCCAGTCAACAGGTGGGAGAGAGAAAGAGCAAGATAAACAGCAGATTTGCAAAAAGGCCCCGGAGAGAAAATGAGCTATTTAGACAGAGCAGCGTTGCAGGGTGGAGGTGGAATGGCCTTGGTGTCTTAGCACAGAGTTGTGGGGGTTCCAGCTTGCCACCATCAGGCCTGTGGCTCCCTCCTCTGCTTCTGCAGTTCAGATTGTCTAGACTGTTGAGAAAACTACCTGTAGGACGATGCCATCCTGTGACCAGTGACATGAGTGTGGCCCCGTCTCTGAGGAGGAGATGGAAACAGAAATTACACTATAAAAAATGGGGGAAATTATTCTCAATTCTCTCCATTCCCAGGTCACTAAGTCAAATAATAGGATCACCCGCTTCTCAATCATGCCCGACCCAGGCATCTGCTCAGCTCATGAGTCTGCCAAGTGGAAGAAATATGCAGCCTGAATATAGACTAAAGCCTGGCAGGTTTGTACTTCAAAGGTCTCACATTCCAAATCTGTCACTATTTTTTTGTTTTTATGCATTTGCCACATGGTGAGCAGTACAGGGCTCCAGCCAAGAGGCAGCACGATGTGTGTGTGTTTCCATCAGAATCCAAAGCCCAGAGTTTTCCACCCCTAGTTGAGAGAACTCAGGAGCTCTGAGCATTACTGACTGTGTGTATGTGTGTGTGTGTGTGTGTGTGTACCATGGGCAACTAGGAAATATGAAGTGGTCTGCAGTGGACCCTGGAGGGCCCCCATTGCAACCATCGAGAGGCAGGGTCTCTTGATGGCTCACCCAGAGTGTCTCTCTATAAAGAATAAGTCAAGTAGGAGCTGCCAGGAGAAGCTGAGAAGTCATGGGGAGAAGCTGGTCTCTGTGGGCCGCATTGGATGTGTGGATAACCGCCTAAAGCCTAATAAACAAAGATGGATATTCACAAAGACACAGCCCTGAGGACACGGGCGGGGGCGGGGAGGGTGGGAGACTGGGACTGCTAGGAAGGGATCCATTGAAGGATTAAACTCCTTGAGTAATTTTCTTCACTCAACTAGATGAAAAGTAGCACAGTAAGTCTTCACTTAATAGGTAGGTTCCTAGAACTGAGACTTTAAGCAAAGCGACTATAACAAAAGCATTGTTTCTTTCAACCTGGGCTGGGATTGTTTTTTCTCATCAATGTTAGAGCTAAACCATATCGAACAGACAACAGTATTTGAGAAACTGCTATACTTGGTTACAGCCTTACGTTTTCCGATTCTTTGAGTGATTCCATCTGTATTCCTTTCCTAGGGCTGCCATAGCAGGTGGCTTAAAGTGACAGACATTTATGGCACACAATTCTGGGAGAAAAAAGTCCAAAATCAATGTGTTGTCAGGGCCGTGCTCTCTCTAATACCTGCAAGGGAGAATCCTAACTCACGTCTTCCTCCTTCAGGGAGTTGCCAGCACTCCTGGCTATTCCTTAGCTTGCAGCTGTGACCCTTCCATCTCTGCATCTGTGGTCACTTGGCACTCTCCTTGCTGTATGCAAATTTCCCTCTTCTTATAAGGCTGTTAACCATTACATGAGGAAACACCCTAAGCCAGTGTGACCTCAACTTTACTTGATAGTTTGAGTACATTTGGATGCCTATTTCTAAATAAGGTCACAGTCACAGGAAGTGAGGGGTAGATTTTGAATGGATCTTTTTGGTTTAACCTGTACCATTGTCCAATTACTCTAGACTTTTGGTTAATCTCACACAGCCTTGAGTTATATATACTGTGAGGAGAAAGGGACAGAACAGAGTGAGCCTCCCTCTCCAGCTGGGAGAGAAAGGCGGCCTATGCAAGCCTCCTTGAGAAAGGTTAAGAACAGTAGCAACTGTTCACCCTCAATATGTTTTAGAGGGAGATGACCCTTGAAGGGATGTGTGTGTGTGTGTGTGTGTTGGATGGACATGTGTACACCTGCTGATTCCATCTCCATCCCCACAGAAATGATAAACTCCAGAAAACAAGAACAGTGTCTGGCTCATATGTGTACTGTCTGCATCCCAAGCTCAGGGCTGCCTCATTCAATAAATATTTGTTGAACTGAACTGAACCAAACTAAATTGAGTTGTGGGAACAAATTATGCCAATACTCCTTTGGCCTTGGAAAGTGAAAAGGGATCTGCTGAGAGAAAAGCAAGGACTTGGGACAGAGAGAAAATGATCCTCCCCCTCCCCCCAGTTCTAATGAGGTCACCAGCTGGGCCGGCATCACTGGACATGCTCAGCTCTTCTTGCAACACATTATCATCTTCTCAAGGGCCCCACATCTCCTTCTCTCAATAAAGATATATGTCTGGCACCTTCTCTGCAATTCCAGAAATGTCTGCCTTTTTAACGAAGTGGCTCTCCACATCACCCTGCCATCTGGGTTTGATTGCATTGGAGCTGTGTGTAGAATGGGATACTCTAGTTTTGCTTCCCACCAGCCTTCACAGGTCACACACTGAGCGACCACAGTTGTGAAACAGGATTTTCTTTATTCCACATCTTTCTGTCCTATGGGAAGTCTGGCTCCTTTTAGACTCCATCTTGGCATTGGCAGGTGGTGACTCAGATATCCTGAGAAAACATCTGGTCTGCATGCACCTGTGCCATTTCTCTCTGCTTCAATTTTGGCTTACCCTGCTTTCCTCTCTAGTGACCCCATTGTGGCCTGACTGCTGGTGTCCTCTGGTACCCCAGGAGACGTTTCAGTTAATGTTGGCA